TCAACATACAAGCTTTAACAAAAGAAAATTCAAAGAACTTAGCGAAAAAGGCTTTGGTGTATTTAACACAATACGTTGAAATGAAGGAAAGCTTATTTATTGATATCCCCGATAAGCTACAAATATGTACATATACATGAGTCAAAATAAGCACACAAGAGGGAGCCTTCACAAAGGTTGCTTAGGAGAAGTCTCAGCAGTCGGTAGAGCCCCAGAAAGAGAAGGCACCGGAGGGGGATCATTTGGAGCCTCAGTACTGGACAGAACCCTAAAAGGAGGAGGCATCAGAGAGGTTGATCATTTGGAGCTTCATTACGCGGTACAGCCCCAGAAGACGAAGGCAATAAATGCCTTTGGAACAAACCCACAAATCTCTGATGATCAAGTAAAACCTGACCATCAGTTTCCTTCATCTGGTCAAGCTTCCTCTTCATGTTTGTAGCATAGTCATGTGCGAGCCGGTGCAACTGTTTATTCTCATGCTTGAGCCCTCTAATCTCCTGTTTGAGACTCATCACTTCAGCCACCAATGATTCAACTTGGCGGGTTCGAGCAAATAGGCGTTGGGCCATATTAGACACAGAACCTGCACACTGAACACTGAGAGCCAGCGAATCCTTAACAGCTAACTCATCAGACCGTTTGGAAAGTAGTCTGTTATCTTTGGGAGTGAGAAGGTTCCTGGCCACCACCGCAGCGGTCATATCATTCTTCATCACGGAATCCCCAACGGTAAGAGGACCAGTAGGGGAGACGAAGGATGGGCGCCATATGTTGTCTGGAGAAGGCGGGGCTGCCTCTTTAACAAGGTTCAAGTCAAAACGACGGTCGGAGGGGCCAGACATTTTCAAAGGTGTTGAAGAGAGAAGAGGTCGGACAAATCAAGATCTTAGAAGTGCAAGAATGAAGCTTCTACTGGTGGAGATTCAAGTGTGCTTTGGAACTTAATGCCAGCCCCTATAAAAATCTGCACTCGACGAAGCTTCAGAAATCGAAGAGGCGCCTGCTCAGAAATCGAAGAGGCGTTTGCTTTCTCAAAAGCTGGGCTGCTTAGAGATCACGAGGGTTGATCTCAGAAATCGAAGAGGCGTTTGCTTTCTCAAAAGTTGGGCTGCTCAAAGACCACGAAGGCCGATCTCAAAAATCGAAGAGGCGCTCGCTTTCTCAAAAGCTGGGCTCCCCAGAGACCACGAGGGCCGATCTCAGAAATCGAAGAGGCACCTACTTTTCCAGCCTTTTCCAGCCTTGTCAGCACCTGTCACACGCACACTCAGTTTTGCGGAAATTATGGGCATTCTGTCAAAGACTTCTGGGGAAGTAGAAAACACATGAATCTTACTGTTCAATCACCCACTTCCCACACGCAACAATAGCTCATGGGTACCACAGATAACTTTGCCAAAGTTCTCTGCCAAAGTTGAGCACGTGAAGCTTGCAGCTCCCACTACATCGCTCTGACCAAGAAGGGTAAAAGAATAGCAAAGAAACAGCACTAACAAAGTTTAGACCCATAAATTTTGAAGGTCTAGCTACCATATTATTACCCACAAGGGTAAAGGAACAGTACCACTGCTGGATAATTGGAAAGTCCCTGTGTGTCAACCTCTGTGCTTCGTGGCAAGGTAGACTAGCAAACATGCCCAACCTTTACTCACATTCGAGAAAACAGTCCCAATAAGATTGCTTGCTCCAAAATCGAAGAGGCACCGTCCTCCGAATCTCGAGAGCCAGACTCCCAACATGACTACTTTCTTAAAAATCGAAGAGAGGGTAAAGGAACAGTACCATTGCTGGATAATTGGAAAGTCCCTGTGTGTCAACCTCTGTGCTTCGTGGCAAGGTAGACTAGCAAACATGCCCAACCTTTACTCACATTCGAGAAAACACTCCCAACAAGATTGCTTGCTCCAAAATCGAAGAGGCACCGCCCTCCGAATCTCGAGAGCCAGACTCCCAACATGATTACTTTCTCAAAAATCGAAGAGACACTGCTCCCCGAATCTCGAGAGCCAGACCCCCAGCATGATTGCTTTCTCAAAAATCGATGAGGCATCGTTCTCCGAATCAATCGAAGAGGCGCTCGCTTTCTCAAAAGCTGGGCTGCTCAGAGACCACGAGGGCCTATCTCAGAAATCGAAGAGGCACCTACTTTTCTAGCCTTGTCAGCACCTGTCACACGCACACTCAGCTTTGCAGAAATTATGGGCATTCTGTTGAAGACTTCTGGTGAAGTAGAAAGCACATGAATCTTACTGTTCAATCACCCACTTCCCACACGCAACAATAGCTCATGGGTACCACAAATAACTTTGCCAAAGTTCTCTGCCAAAGTTGAGCACGTGAAGCTTGCAGCTCCCACTACATCGCTCTGACCAAGAAAGGTAAAAGAATAGCAAAGAAACAGCACTAACAAAAGTTTAGACACATAAATTTTGAAGGTCTAGCTACCATATTATTACCCACAACTGTAAAGGAACAGTACCACTGCTGGATAATTGGAAAGTCCCTGTGTGTCAACCTCTGTGCTTCGTGGCAAGGTAGACTAGCAAACATGCCCAACCTTTACTCACATTCGAGAAAACACTCCCAATAAGATTGCTTGCTCCAAAATCGAAGAGGCACCGTCCTCCGAATCTCGAGAGCCAGACTCCCAACATGACTACTTTCTCAAAATCGAAGAGAGGGTAAAGGAACAATACCATTGCTGGATAATTAGAAAGTCCTTGTGTGTCAACCTTTGTGCTTCGTGGCAAGGTAGACTAGCAAACATGCCCAACCTTTACTCACATTCGAGACAACACTCCCAACAAGATTGCTTGCTCCAAAATCGAAGAGGCACCGCCCTCCGAATCTCGAGAGCCAGACTCCCAACATGATTACTTCCTCAAAAATCGAAGAGACACTGCTCTCCGAATCTCGAGAGTCATACCCCCAGCATGATTGCTTTCTCAAAAATCGAAGAGGCATCGTTCTCCGAATCTCGAGAGCCAGATACCACAGACCACTTTTTCAAAATGCTCTGACAGAGTTAAAACATGTGAAACTGGCAGCTCCCACTACCGTGCTATGACCAAGCAGGGTAAAGGAATAGCATTACTACTTGTTGTTAGGGAGACTCCTATATATGTCGACCTCTATCCCCAACGGACAGGCAGACCTGCAAAAATGCTCAACCCTTCATCATATCTGAGAGGGCACTCCCAACGAAGCCTTTGGAAATATTCAGCTTTCTTTCCCCCCGATAATACCTCTGCAAACAAGCTATACTAGAGCAAGAATATCTCATATCATCAGGGTTAAAAGTAAGAGTATCCCATATCATGCTTTTTCCCTGTCTTTTCTTTTGGCCTTGTTTTTACCTGCAAGACAAGGAGAAAGAGAGCAATCAGTCAGCACTTGGAATCAAGCTTCCAGCCAGGAACTGACTGCCTGGAAACCCTTACCTGATTACTTACCTGGCATTGCTTTCGAGTACTCATCTTCAACATCTTATGTTTCCAGGGAAGATTCCGCATCTGCTTGAGGAACAGAGAGGGCAAGTGCGAAGGATACAAGGAAGCATGTGGAGACAAGCGTAACAGCACACGTGCCGATACATTCATTACTCTGTCAAAAGCAAAAGTATCCCATATCAGCAGGGTGGAACGTACTCTAGATTTGATGGACTTGTTTTGACCCTCAAATTCTTCAGTCGGCCTTATACTCTGGAGGAAACCAGAAATCCCTCCAGCTCAGTTCAAGAATAAGCCTGTGGAAAGTTACTTCTTCAAAAGCAAAAGTATCTCATATCATCTCTTCTCATTTTTCTTCTCTTTATCCTTCATGCTGCTGCAAGATGGGGAGAAGGTGAACAATCAGTCGGAGCTCTGATTGCTTACCTTGTCTGTCACCTCTTTCAGCAGACCCCCTAGCTCGGCGACTTGGGGGACTCCTACTACATGGTTTGTATCGCGCTTGACCAAGCCTGAAACTACAAGTAAGCTTCAAGTGAAATTGATACATTACCTTGTGCATCTCCACCAGTTAAAGATACCACCCCTGGATGGAGGAAGAGTACTTCCAGAGAAGATGCCACATCTACCTATGAGACAGATAAGGCAAGTCAAGACGACACCACACTCCGATACTTAGAAGTTTCGTGATTACGAGATCATTCTCCCACAATATTTCCTAATGTCATTTGTACTAAATCATTCACTTGTACTCACTAAATAAGAGATTGAACCTATGTACTTGTGTAAACCCTTCACAATTAATGAGAACTCTTCTATTCCGTGGACGTAGCCAATCTGGGTGAACCACGTACATCTTGTGTTTGCTTTCCTATCTCTATCCATTTATATACTTATCCACACTAATGACCGGAGCAATCTAGCGAAGATCACAAAAAGCGATCGTTTTCGCTACCTAGGATCTATCTTGCAAGAGAATGGAGAATTAGATGGAGATCTCAACCATAGAATACGAGCTGGATGGAAAGAGTGCATCCGGCGTGTTGTGTGACCGTCGTAGGCCACTGAAGCTCAAGGGAAAATTTTATAGGACGGCAATAAGGCTAGCGATGTTGTATGGCACAGAATGTTGGGTGGTGAAGCATCAACACGTACACAAAATGGGTGTAGCGGAGATGAGGATGCTTCGTGGGATGTGTGGGCACACGAGAAAGGATAAGATTGGGAATGAGGATATCCGAGGTAAAGTAGGAGTAGCCGAAATTGTAGGAAAGATGAGAGAAAATCGGCTCCGGTGATTTTGGACATGTGCAAAGAAGGCCGACTGACGCTCCGGTTTGAAGATGTGACTACGGGACAGAGGTTCAGGGCCGAAGGGGTAGAGGAAGACCTAGGACAACTTTGGAAGAGACTCTAAGAAAAGACTTAGAGTACTTGGATCTAACGGAGGACATGACACAAAACCGAGCGCAATGGCGTTCTAGGATTCATATAGCCGACCCCACTTAGTGGGAAAATGCTTTGTTGTTGTTGTTGTAAGGTTTCTTGTCAAAGTTATAAAAAGAAATGTAATTCCACCTGGATGCATACCAACAAAGGAGAAAAAAGAATGCTGAGAGCTTTAAAAGTTATCTCAGTGTTTTTAAGAAAACTGAAGAGAACTTAAACCCTCTTGGCCAACATATAAATACAAGTCAGGAGCCTCTCACCAATCCCCAGCATCGACGGTCATTTTTGCGACACGATTCCCACACCCGATGCTCCTTGTGCGTAGAGTCCTGCCGCCGCCCGCTGTATCAATTTCATCGTACCATCTTACATTGGTTGTTCGCTCCTAAGAACATGATATCAAGCTTTCGCTGCATTACTTGTCTGAAGAGTCATTTTTATGTTCATTGATGCCAACTCAGCAGCTAAATATCTGAAGACATAAGGCATTGCAACTGTCTCCATCCCTTTACTTGTGTTACAAGCATGGCAGCTGACCTTCTTGGGAGCTCTTACAGGGGGAATTCCTGAAACCGCACGCACAACCCGTTTTGGTTGGACGAATGAGGACGTTAGGATGCTTCCACATATGAAGCCTGTCATGCAACAGATATGCTGCCCCGTGCGCAAGCATGGAGTCCCTCTCCATTTCGCCAAAACGTATACCACCACCTCACTTTCGTCCCGTGATAGGCTGGCGAGTGATCTGGTCTACCGTTCCAGTGGAGCGTACCTGCACGCCAAATCGAGTACCACATGTAAGGCAACTGATGATAAAAATTGGGACACTGAGAAAATCTTGAAAGCTCGTGTAGTTATAAAACTTGAAATTGGTCGAATCTTTACCTGAAATTTGTCTGAAACCATATGTCGTAGTTGTTGATAATAAACAGGGCCAATAAAGTGAGTTCTGTGCCATAATCCCCGCTGTACAGAACCTCTACACCATGGTAGTTAAACCTCTTAACCTTCAACAATTCGCCAAGTTCATCAACAAGGGTTTTGGATTTTGGTCCAGTCTCTCCATTAGCGTTCTTTGAACTAGCAAATGGTGTTGCGTCAACATAATGTCCATGTAAGCTACCACCATGTGACAAGAAATGTTCAAGGTTAAGGGGTTTAACTACAGGAGTGTACAGGTAGTGCAATTTTTCAGCAACTGTTAACAACATACAGTAAAAATTAAATTGTTTAGGTTCAAGTACCTTTGCAGCAACCGATTCCAACAGCATAGCTATCGTCATTCTAGAAGGAAATTTATCACCAATGATAGGGTTTCTAGTGTGTCGAAAGCGTATGTTTGCCTGCACAAGAACGGTATAATGTTATGGCATATAATAAGTTATGGGATAAACATTTTAACAATGATTGACCCAGAGTTATGATGATAACTAGAGATATTCAACGAAACATTAGGAAAAGTAATGAACAAATCTCCCATGTTATTAAGTCATAAATACGGAGCATCTGCAGAATTGCAGATACATTAATCCCAAAGTAAGTATACCTATGGGAAACATGGCTATTAGCAATCATTAAACCCAAGATTTAATGTAGTCCCTAGAGACAAATTCTTTCCTCATTTGGTCACACAAAATTGATAGAAATTAATAGAGAAGTGAGGGGGACAAAAACCTTAAACTAAATCTTTTTCTGTGCAATCGCAAACCAAATAAGGTAAACGTAGATGAGCTTAAAGTTGACTCTCATTTCTCCATTGGCAAGCAAAACATGGTCCATAAAGACAATACAAAATAGGTACAAGCAATCATCAAGCACAGTTATCAATTAGCTATATATTGCGATTCGATATATTCAGACTTTTCAAATCCAGTCTCCGAGATCCAAAATTAGGAACCAAAGTAAATGTTGTCCACTTACCTTTTGAAGGAGCTTCTTCCCATCAATAGCAACATAGTCAACTATAACGGGTTCTGTACCTTTCCGTTTGATGGCTCTGGGCTTATGGAGTGTGGCATTGGTAAAGCTATAGTATTCTTCATATGGTTTTATTGTCTGAAATGCAACAGAGAATAAAGTTGAGTACAGAATTGCAACCACATATGTACTATATATACATTTATATTGTATGAGATTTTAGGCTTCAACTCTCGGGTTTTGAACTCTGTAAAACCCAAAAGTAATGACCTAAAATCTAAGCAATAACAGGTGCCAGGGAAAAACTTGCACTTCCAGTCCGTCAACTGGCCAGAGGCTGCATTAGGACACCAATCATTAAGTCAGTCGACTGGCCAGAAGCTTGCATCTTGGACAAATCTCACATCAACAGTTGCACTGCCATGATCCTAACTTTCTGTGTTCAACATAATGCAGGAGAATATAGAGCACAAACTAAAATCCAGAAATGAATGCTAACCTGACCAACATAAGGAAGACCATCTGAATCAATCAAAGGATTTTTATCGACGTTACTTTTCTTAAAAAATGTTGGGGTGTTATCCGACCTCTTCTTTTGATCAGACGAGTCTATTGTTTCTGTCTGCCAAAACACATCATTTGGTAAGCAAGAGTATTTAGGTCCAAGAAGAAAACCATATGCATTAGTAAAGACATTGATTTGGTATACAAAAGCATAAAAGAATAAAAGAAAAATAAAATTCCTGAAATTTCTGTTAAAGCTTTCAACATACACAATAAGAAACAAGAATAAATTCATGTATACAAAACGCATTTGGCCAAATGAATACAAGATTTTCTAATAGATTCCATCAAGAACAAAATCTCCATCACTTTGTTCGGCCCTGCAGGATGATTATTTAGAAATTTTTGTGTGGACTCCAATTTAGTAATATGAATAAACTACTAAGCTGCATGGATTTTTAAGGTGCACATTCTTATAATTTGTAATATGCCCTTGAGGCTCAAACTCATATTTCTCGAAACGAGCTATACAGGAATGTGAAAAAAAAATTTAGCGGTAGGATTCCAAAAAATTTATACAAGATGGAACTTCTGTTGAACAATAACCAAGGACAGACAGGAGGGTAAAACAGAAAAGACCCTGACACTGATACATATTCATGGGCTCTGATTATGATCTGACCAGGGTGTAAGATTAGCGACCACACTGAGCATTCCAGTTGGATGAATTTCTTCATGAGTTGCTGGGAAACCATCTTTCCTTCCACCATCTCGACCATCAGGACATCTTATTTCCATGAAAACCTAATAGCACATGGAGAAACCAGATAGTCATACTTTTAGGGTCTGATCATAATAAGCACCTGACTATCAAAGCAGAAAAATGATAAACGATAATTCTTATCATGGCAGAAAACATAATGTGGGTAAAAAAATTATTAAAAGAAAAACCATATTTACCTGTTCAAGGGGTCCAATAAGTTCAATATTCTGACCTCCAACGGAAGGAATTGAAATGTTCTTTACTGGCCGAACAAATCTAGAAGGGATAGTGAAAAGGTACAGACCAGGATATGCCCCACTCATGCTTAAGAGCAGTTTCATCGCCCAGTGAACAGTAACTATCTTTTGCATCTCTACTCTACACTGAATAGCTTTGACAATAGGCAATAAAATATTAGTATTTTTTAAATTTATAAAATAATACAAAATAATTTAATTTGTAATTTCGGATAAGATTTTTAATCGTTCTCATTGTGCCACGTGTCATTATCCAAAAAGACAATTATTGGTGATGGATTTCGATAAGATTTTTATTCAATGTTGTCGTGCCACGTGTTGTTACCTTTTCAGAATCGTTGAGGATAGATTTCCGATAATATTTTTAACCAATCACGTCGTACCACGTGTCATAATCTGTTTACAATATTTGAGGATAGATTTCGATCAAATTTTTAATGAATGACGGCATGCAACGTGGCATTATCTACAACCTAATCATTTCTGAATCCTCCATATAATCCACCATCCATCCTCAGAAATCTCACACCAATTTTCTGAAGATCTCTATCATTATTCATAGTTCCTTCTTCATCAAAATCAAAATCTGTATCATTATTCATAGTTTATGCTTCCTTCTTACAATGTCTTCTTCTTCAAGAATGATGTGGGAAATCGATCAACAAGAGGAATAATTGTTAACCAATCATAATGAATGTTCAATATCCAAGTGGCCCAAAATGAGAGGGAAGAGGATAAGGAGCGTAGAAGGAGAGATGACGAAGCAAGAATGGGCAAAGCCTCACATTCCCATCAAGTCATCCAAGCTGTGGGTCAGATCTGCAGGCCCAACCATTCCGGAAACCTTGATAGAAGCAGACAACGACAAGGTATGAAACTCTTGGATGATTATTTTGTCCGTAATAGTGCATTGCCTAATACATACTTTAGACGTCGTTTTAGAATGGAACGACATTTGTTCAACAAAATCATGATTGCAACCATGATTCTTACTTTGTGCAAAAGAATGATGCTTTTGGTGATATGAGTCTTATTCCTGAGCAAAAAATTACTGTTGCCTTGCGGATGCTTACATATGGAGTATCTACAGACCAAGTGGATGAGATAGCGAGGATGGGGAAATCAAATATTCTTAAGTCCCTGATGAGGTGTTGTGGAGCAATCGAATCTATCTACACCGTAGAGTACCTCCGGAGACCTACTAACATGGATTTACAAAGGCTTATGAAAAAGGGCGAGATGTGAGGTTTTCCTGGGATGATTAGAAGCATCGACTGTATGCACTGGACCTGGAAAAACTGTCCAAGTGCATGCCAAGACGTTTATAGGGACAGAAAAGGAGCAAAAAGTGTCATTTTGGAGGCAGTGGCATATTTTGATACATGGATTTGGCACACATTTTCCGGGGTTCTAAGAGCTCAAAATGACCACAATGTCCTTGCCCAATCCCGAGTGTTCAACTATGTCCTGCAAGGATAGGCACCAAAAGTCACGTACTAGGTCAACGGACATAAGTACGATGGGCCATACTACCTAGCAGACGACATTTATCCAATATGGTCATCGTTTTTCAAAACAGTGCCCTGTCAGCGAAGTACAAAGGCAAAACACTTTGCAAGCTATCAAGAGGGGTGCAGGAAGGATGGAGCGTTGTTTTGGTATCCTCCAAGCTCAATGACTGATTGTTAGGGGTGCTGCCAAAATGTTTGATGTAGAGTCGCTTCGATCCATCATGATGACGTGCATCATTCTTCACAACATGATTGTGAAAGATGAGTACGATTATGATGTCGTTGATGAATATGAGCAAGACACGATGAACAATTCCAGAACACAAATATATTGTGCTCATGACGCCACCGAAGAACCTGTGCAACACGAGCCATTAGAAATGGATGGACGTTACAATGAAAGGCTCATTCAACGATATATTGCACTTCAAAGGCCATATATGCACAATGTCCGGCAAATTGACTTGATAGAGCACCAGTGGGAATTGAAACAAGCTCAAGATACTTAAGTTCATTTAGTGTGTTTGTTTTTATTTGATGTGTCTATTTAATTTCATTTGGTGTGTTTTTTTTTAGTTCATTTAGTGAGTTTTTTATTATTTGTTGTGTTTTTTTTAGTTCATTTAGTGAGTTTTTTAATATTTGGTATGTTTATGTAATTTTATTTGGTGTGTTTATGTCATTTGAATAAAGATTCTCTTAGTATAAATAAATTTAATCTCACTTTAAATTAAGTACTAAATTCAATAAATTGGAAACAACATATAGTACTTTATTCAATAAATAATAAATTACAACCCAAAGTGATTAGAAAATTATGGGCTCCGATTATAAAAAGTACTCTATTCATCATCACTTAACCAATTTGTGGTGCTAGGATTATCTTCTCTTGTTGTGCTAGGACCATTTCCTCTTGCTTGCCTCCTTTGCACCACGTCCGTTTTCTCCGACTTCCAAAAATATTTAGAATTTGAAGACTTTCCTTCTAAAGTTGTGTTCATAATGTCACGATCTCGTTGAGCCATTCTTTCTTCTCTAAACTGTTCTATTTCTTGCCTAAGTAGCTCTTTTTCTCTCTCATTAGCTTGAAATGCTCTCTCAACAGCTGCAACTTTTACCTCTTCTCTAGCCTTATCAGCCTCAAATTTCGCTATTTCCAGCGCCAAAGTCAATTCACCTTGGTGAGGACGTTCTTCCATATACTTTGCATAATCATTCTTGGAAGCACTCCCTTTACTCTTTGAAGTGTTCTTACCTTGAGGCCTAATTGGATAATGGGTTGACCCCGACGCTTGTTCAGGGGGGCGTTTCAAGCACTTCTTCTGCGTCATCTTCATGAACATGCAAGGCATGATCGGGTGTAGAGTGTAGAGGGGTACTGTTCATGAAAACTTCTGGATCGACAGACACAACTCTGAATTTAGGACAATCTTTGACAATATTCCAACATTCCCACTGGTTGAATGATTTGTTTTTGCTTTCGGTTTTGGCATTATACCAAGCTTGTACTTGAAATTCCTACACAATGCGGGAGAATAAATAATTATAATGAAAGTAGGTAACAAATAAATAATACAAACAAATAATTACAATGAAAGTAGGTAACAAATACTAATACAAACAAATAATTATAATCAAAGTAGCTAACAAATAAATAATACAAACCAATATTTGTTTATATTTGTATTATTTATTTGTTAGCTACTTTGATTATAATTATTTGTTAGTATTATTTATTTGTTACCTACTTTGATTATAATTATTTGTTTGTATTATTTATTGTTACCTACTTTCATTATACTTATTTCTTCTCCCGCACTGTATAAGAATTTCAAGCACAAGCTTGGTATAATGCCAAAACCAAAAGCAAAAACAAATCATTCAACCAGTGGGAATGTTAGAATATTGTCAAAGATTGCCCTAAATTTAGAATTGTGCTTGTCGGTCCAGAAGTTTTCATGAAAAACACCTCTCTACACTCTACACCCGATCATGCCTCTCATGTTCACGAAGATGACACAGAAGAAGTGCCCGAAACACCCCCCTGAACAAGCGTCGGGGTCGACTCGTTATCCAATTAGACCTCAAGGTAAGAACGATTCAAAGAGAAAAGGGAGTGCTTCCAAGAATGATTATGCAAAGTTTATGGAAGAACTTGATCGCCAAGGTGAATTGACTTTGGCACCGGAAATGGCGAAATTTGAGGTTGATAAGGCTAGAGAAGGCTAGAGAGGAGGCAAAAGCTGCAGCTATTGAGAGAGCATTTCAAGCTAATGAGAGAGAAAGAGAGTTACTTAGGCAAGAAAGGGAACAAGTTAGAGAAGAAAGAATGGCTCAACGAGATCGTGACATTATGAACACGCCTTTAGAAAGGAAGTCTCCAAATTCTAAATATTTTTGGAAGTCGGAGAAAGCGGACGTGGTGCGACGAAGGAGGCGTGCAAGAGAAGCGAGAGCAAGAGGAGATGGTCTTAGCACGACAAAAGAAGATCATCCTTGCACCACAAATTGGTTAAGTGATGATGAATAGAGTACTTTTTGTAATCGGAGCCCATAATTTTCCAATCACTTTGGGTTGTAATTTATTATTTATTGAATAGAGTACTGTATGTTGTTTCCAATTTATTGAATTTAGTACTTTATTTAAAGTGAGAGTAAATTTATTTATACTAAGAGAATCTTTATTCAAATGACATAAACACACCAAATAAAATTACATAAACATACCAAATAATAAAATACTCACTAAATGAACCAAAAAAAACACACCAAATAAAATTACATAAACATACCAAATAATAAAAAACTCACTAAATGAACTAAAAAAAACACACCAAATAAAATTAAATAAACACACCAAATAAAAACAAACACACTAAATGAACTTAAGTATCTTAAGCTTGTTTCAATTCTCACTGGTGCTCTATCAAGTCAATTTGCCGGGCATTGTGCATATATGGCATTTGAAGTGCAGTATATCGTTGAATGAGCCTTTCATTGTAACGTCCATCCCTTTTTAATGGCTTGTGTTGCACGGGTTCTTCGGTGGTATCATGAGCACAATATATTTGTGTTCTGGAATTGTTCATCGTGTCTGGCTCATATTCATCAACGGCATCATAATGGTACTCATCTTCCACAATCATGTTGTGAAGAATGATGCACGTCATCATGATGGATCAAAGCGACTCTACATCAAACATTCTGGCAGCACCCCTGATAATCGGCCATCGAGCTTGGAGGATACCAAAACAATGCTCCACATCCTTTCTGCACCCCTCTTGACAGCTTGCAAAGTGTTTTTCTTTTGCACTTCGCGGAAGTGGCACTGTTTTGACAAACGATGGCCACCTTGGGTAAATGTTGTCTGCTAGGTAGTATGGCCCGTCGTATTTATGTTCGTTAACCTAGTACGTGACTTTTGATGCTTAACCTTGCAGGACATCGTTGAACACTTGGGATTGGGCAAGGACATTGTGGTCATTTTGAGCTCCCGGAATCTCGAAAAATGTGTGCAAAATCCATGTTTCAAAAGATGCCACTGCCTCCAAAATGATACTTTTTGCTCATTTTCTGTTCCCATAAGCGCCTTGCCATGCACTTGGACAGTTTTTCCAGGTCCA